AACCAATAACTATGTCAAACCGACCTAAACCGACCCAAGTCGGTTTGGTTCGGTCGATTTTTCGGTTTTTTTGCCCACCCCTACACATTTTTGGAAAAAGAATGCATTTTTACTATTGATGTGATGGGGAATATGTGGTTGAAAAAGAAGGAAAAGTTATTGATGTGATGGAAAATATTATTTTATGGAAGAATGTGTAGTTGAGAATGAGTAGAAGAATGAGAATGAAAAAATTAATGTGGCTCAAATAGGGCCTTAGTTAGTCCTTTGAAGAGAATGTAATATATAGCTTCATGAGGAAAGGACAATATCGGCTTCCATATTGGATAGTATAGCGATGTGTACAGACTGCGCGATGACCAACTAGATGTACATGCAGTAGCTTTGCAAGTAGCACAAGGTAAATCTTCCTTTGAAATCAGTCGACGATTGTGCATTACACTTGCATTATCCATTTTCGCAGAGCTACCATCTGTTGATCGGGATGCAATTCTTTCTTGGAGTGCCTTCGCCTTATCAAATAGATAAGTTTGAGTCTGATAAATTAATGACATTTATCTCCTCCCAGTTTCTTTGCTACGGAGGTGGGTCTATCCTTACTGATTTAAGCTTATATATATTGTAAATGCCTTTTGTCGAAATTGAGAGTAGAGTAATGGCATAACTTCTGTATTGAACCTAATAGCACCAAATATCTCATAGAGGTAACATACTAGAAGAAGATTACATTGTTGAAGGGATGATGAATCTATACTTCGAATTCCCTGGCATAGAGAAATGCATTTAAGGTGAGTGAAATACAATCCTCTGACATGCTTCGCCGACCATCGGGCCAAACAAAGTTGACTAGTCATTGAATCATATGTCGACGAAGGAAAAGAATATAATTTTATTCATCATTTTTAGTATTATTATATATTAAACATGCTTCTATGTTTATGGTTTAGTTCTATATTAAATTCATTACATGGTGTGCTCTTGCAATAATGTTTTGCCATATAATATCGGCATTTTGTGGTATAATTAAGTTAGGTGTACCAACTAGAAAGAAGTACAACCCAGGTATTCTAGCCCGAAGAACAGCCAAGTTTGACCTGAACAAATAACAGGGCCTGACTCTTAGGATTGCAAGTCTCTTTGACGGCTCATTAAGTCTGCAGCACAATTTTTTATGCTAAGGATTCTCAAGATAGGCAATAGCAGAGCATACTTTTGTTACTGCTCACATTTTTGGCTTACTATTACTGTTAAAACTAATATTAATATGCTGGATCTTGGTGAGATACAGGAACTATTTAGAAACTCATGATCTTTAAGGAACTCGAGATTTTATTTCTGATTTTTTGATGATCCGACAATTGAGGAGGAGAGGCCTTTTTATAAATGAAGAGTTTCATTTTACTTTTAGACCAACCATCACAATAGCATAGACTAGTACAATAATTAGACAAGCGGACATACAACTTTTTAAAAGCATACAGGACTCTAGTAAAATTATTATACAAGTGAACACACAACTTTTGATAAAGTGGAATATACTTTAATAAATCAAACAATACTTTATCAATTATTTTGTGAAATGATAGATAACTCATATAAAGTGATAAAGTTCTTAGATCTTAGGTGATCCTTGCGAATCATGGGGTGCCCAGATTTGATGCCATAGCCGGTTTATCTGAATCTTTAGAATCTGACGATAGTGCTAGTGTTTTCCACATAGGCATTTTTTTTCTCTCTTTCCTTTTCTTCATCGAGCTGTTGAAACTTTTCAAGATTTTCAGGGTCGAAAGGGGCAAAAGAGTAAGCCCCATGGATGGCTTGCTAGTGCTTGTTAGCTTGAGCTTTTCAAGGTTTTGGCTGGCTTGCTAGTGCTTGTTAGCTTGAGCTTGTTCCTTCTTGTAGTACCTTTTTTTCCCTCTTTTCCTTATGAGATGTGAGTTTTTTGGTCATGTGTGAAGAGTGGTACAAAGGACACTTTCATTTAACATTTTCTTAAGTTTTTCTTTAAGTTGTTGTCCTTCAAGAGTGTCTTCTGAATACTTAGCTATTTGCCCTAGGCTTTGTGTTGGCTGTCCCAAATACAATTGGATCCAACAATTGTCAAAATAATAATCTTCAGGTGGAATGACTAGATACCAGTTGTGAATTTGGATTAAGCTTTCCATATGAGCCTAAATGTCATGTTGAATCCTTTGAGCATAATCCAATGGAAGAGTTTTCCATGGAGCATCATCTTCAATCTTAGGCCAAATTTCTAGAGGGATTGTTTGATTAATTTTTTCCATTTTTCTATAGAATGTCCTAAATTCTTAAATGATATTATTGACCCCAAAAATTATATCAATGTTGTGGCCAACAGATCTCAAAACCTCTCACGTCCACGCAAGCTAAATCCTAACACACTTGGGCAAGTCGTCAGTTAAACGGTCGAGCGAACTAGAGGAATAATTTATGGTGTAGGGGAGCTTAGAACGTGAACCTCCAATTGATAAAAGGGGGACGGTATCTGTTGATCCTTAAATTTATATAAATGATGTGGCCAAGAGATCTCAAAACCTTTCACGTTCACGTAAGCTAAATTCCAACACACTTGGGCAAGTCGTCAGTTAAATGGTCGAGCCCTCTAGAGTAATAATTTATGGTGTGGGGGGTGATAAGTGTGCAAAAACACACTT